ACATGATCCTGCAACTCATCTCTGATAGAGTACTCCACTAAGCATCTACAACAAGAGTAATTCCATTCCTTTTATTCAACCAACATAAGTAATAAAATTGGGCGTACCTTTGTGTGATAAGACTTGGCTTGCCTATCATTTAGGTTCCTATCAATTTGAAGAATCTGTCAAGCGACTAACATCTCTGCCTAGTCAACGGGAAGCTAATACTCTTCTTTTATATCCTTACTTCTTCATGTGTCCCTATTGTCAATGTTAACTTCTTTCAATAGGAAGCTAGTACTCTTCTTTGATTCTCTTCAATTCCTTCACTACTCCCTGCTCAGGGAATCATGTTTAAACAATCATATACAATAAGCACAAAGCCATGATACTTAAAACACTTCCTAATTGAGAAGCACTTGGGGGTGCTTCCCCCATCTTTTCACCATCCTAAGCAAATTTCTCCATGAAAGGGGAAGGTTTGGTTGCTTTAGAGAGTGTACTCTAACTACCTCATCTTAAGGTTGAGTCTTGTTTGTAAGATATGATAGTAACAATGTTATTTTTTCACCTTTAAAAGCTAAAGCCTGTACATCGAACAAAGACCAAATGACTACAATTACACCACATTGTCAATAGATGGCTTCAACCCTCCAAAGCATCTCGCACTATGTGATTCTACGATTCTAGCAACTCATATTTCATAATAAGTAGATCCAATTTGGTCATGAACTTCATTAAAAAATCCCTCTGATGCAAATTGTGGAGTTTTAGGAAAATATCCTGCAATAATGCAAGGAAATATATTTACATTGCATCTCTTTTTTTATCTTAGGCTATGCAACTATATTTTTATTTCCTTTTTATAGTTGAAAGCGCTTCAAAATTCTTCACCATAATGAAGGATCTTCCAGAATTTAATGGTTGTCAATTTGAATCTCTTGTCCCGAGGAATCTCTTTACACAGTTTGGACTCACTCAATGAATTCATCTACATCTAAACATTCATCAAAATCTGGTAATTCCAACTTCACTCCAAAATCATTGCTTCCTCTATCATTTAATGCCAAGTCGTTGGGGCATTAGTTCTTTATCACTAAATTTTTTTTGGTGAAAGAGCTTAACTTCCTCCTCTCAATCGAACAAGTCACCATGATATTTATGAGTGACCTCCCAGATTATCTCCTCTCAAATGGAGCAAGTTTTTATTGTAGTTGGAAAAACTCTTTTTGTTGCATATCTTCTATTGTAAGCTCTTGAACTTATATTTGCATGTTTCTCCATAGCCACATTATGTCACTTCTCTCAATTAGGGATAAAAATATGGTTAGGGTTAAGGCCAAGAGTAGAAGATTTGATTGAAGTTAATGAATTTGACTGGATAGATAAATTAAGTTATAAGAATTTTAGATTTAAAAATTGGGAAATAAATCCCAAAGGATTTACGATTTGAATGGTTTGAATCCAAATAACACAAAACTAGGGTTACCGGGCGATGTGGGACAATCAAGTGAGGGGTTAGGTAAGTTGCAGGACAAGAAAGGTGGGCGGAAATGTGATGGAGGCAGAGAAAACGGTGCAATCAGTGGCTAGATAGCAATCCATAACAGAAAAACTACAGATCAACTGCAAAATTGGCACTATAGGAGCTAGTCGGGCATTCGGGCATCCGGGAGAAATCACATGAGAAAATCAAATAATACAACACTTCAACTAAAAAGAGCTAGAGAAAAATAATCTTTATGGCATAAATCAAAACCAAAAAAGTGTTCAAATTAGGTTTTAACAATATATTTATATGTAGAAAACCATATACCATAATAAAAATCTAAATAAATCAAGATATAGTCCCATATTAGATAAGCTAGCTCAAGGGATTAAGAATTACCTAAATTGGCTAGAGGAGAATTGGTTTGGAAAGGTACTAGACGGGACTCCTGCTCCCATCACGTAAGTAGAGAACGCCCTCGTTAAATATTTAGCCAAAAAGAATCGAGGAAAAAAATATGAATATCACACATAAACAGAAGAAGGTTGTGAAAAATGCTTGGATTTAAGTATTAACATGATTTTAAAACATGGTTTTACATCTCTTGTTTGAAGCATATTTGTAAAATTGGAGTTATCTAGGTTGCATAATATCACAATGCTAGTGAAATCTGCCCATAATTATTGTTGATTCAATACTACTTCCTGTAAACATTATATATTAGAATTTATATGTCCCTATAAAATCATAGTAATCAGCACAAATCTCGGCACATTAGAATCGTAAACTTCAAAAATCAAATTTGAAAATACACACTCTTCAATGATCAAATGAAATGTTTCAGTTAGACAAGCAAAATGACATAACATTTGATCCGATCTTAATCCAAGTGAGTCGAGATAATGCACTTAAAGTATAAAGAGATGCTTTGGAATATACTTTGGGAGGCCAAATGATCTCAAGATTTTGCCAGCTAATAGTTAAATTGAGCATCACGATAAAACAAATCCAAAAAGTCAAAGAGGGCTTAATTGAAATAACATTAAGACATTTAAATATTTATAAAACTACATTTGATCAAGGATGTTTAATGGAATGATCCAGATTCATTAGTATTTATAGAGAATGTCACTATCAAAATCTATAAAATCACACTGGCTTGTTTAATGGAATGATCCAGATTCATCAGTATTTATAGAGAATGTCACTATCAAAATCTATAAATAGATCCCCACAGTCTTTACGAGGGGGATTGGACCTAGATAAGAAGAATTAAGAGAGCTATAAGCTCTTATGGACTTCCGAACTCCACCATCGCTGAACCAGTCGTTGTTGCCTGAAGACCACCGCCCAGTCATTGTTGTCGTCGTCTTTACACCACCGCCACTTGGGTCATCGCCACGCCATCTTCGAACACCACCACCACAGTTGTCGGACCATTACCGCTGTTGGAACACTATCTGGTCCCCATTGTCATCACTGTCGAACCATGATTGTCATTGTGAAGCAACCATCACCCGATTATCAACAAACCATCGCTATCTGACCACTAGTCGCCACAATCAGACCACCGGCATTCGGAGGCTACCGCCGCCGGACTACTGCAACCCAGCCTCCTCTACCATCATCATTGACAAGCCGCCACCGTTGTTGGGCCACCGTCGTCAACAGAGTACTGCTACCTGGTTGTCGTTGTGCTAGGCCATCTTTGGATCGTCGTCACATTCGTGAAGCCCCCATCGCCATACCACTGCAACTGTGTCAGACCACCTAAGTCAATTTGTTGTCGTTGTTGGACCACCGGTGTCATGTCGTACAATCGATGTTGAGCTGTTGTCGTCATTGTTAGGTTGCCATGACATAAAGTAGCCATTGTCAGACCATTATCATTATGTCAAACCACCAATATCGAACAACTACCACTATCAATAGGTTGTCGTCGTCACCGGACCATCACCTGACCGGCGCCAAGCCACCGCTACCACCACCATCGATGTGTCAGTCTGCCATTGCCACAAAGCCACTATCACCAAATCGATGACGAGCCGCCGCCACCATTAGGCTCTCATTATTTTTAGATCGCTATTATCACTAGATCACCATCGTTGGCCAACACATCTGTCACGATACATCATCATTATCACACCACCATTATGATGCTAATACACCATTGTCGTCACCGTCTCTTGGTTATCGTTATCATCAAATCACTATTACCTAGCCGACATCGTTGAACCCCCATCAAATATTCTATGTCTACCGCCGCCACAACAATCTTTATCAAAACACCCTTGTTAGACCACTGTAAATCGGTCAACACCGTTCGACCACAAAACATTATTGTTGGACGACAATTGCTCCGCCGCGTCCCAACTGCTACTATCATCTTCACCACTACAATCTTTAACGTGTCGCTATCTTCTAACCCCCACTATCATTAGGCCACCTTCGCCGTCAGCCGCTGGAACATGGTCACATGGATGACAACGTTTTCGCTGCCACCGTTGCTTGGTTGTTATCACAATTGTTGTCAGACCATAAGCGTCTGGTTGAAGCCATTGTCATCATTAGACCTCTATTGTCAAATTTTCATCGTCAGATTACCTATACCTGACTATCACAACAAATTTTTATGGATCATTATTGTCGAACGACCACCACCTTCGCTGACAATGAATCCAGATCGCTGTCACACAACCCATGTCATTGGTCTTCCATCGTCGCAACCAAATCGCTGTCACTTCATATTTTCTCTCTTATAATATTATTTTGTATTGTTCAAGAGAACAGACAAATTCTTATAGCATATAATTGAATAACGGAAGAATTTCAATTTGTCTAGGCCATGTGGTGTTTTCCCTTTCAGGTTTTCCACATAAAAACCCCTGGCGTCACTCCTACCAGGTTTTTTTTTTATCTGTGTATGTGTTGAATTTTCGTACAATGCTACGATATAATATATCTCCATTGCAATTATCTGACACAAGAAAAATAATAGATTTTAGTTACAGTTTTTGTTTCATTTTGCTCATTGCTTCTAACTATCCAAAAGCTGCTATATAAGTTGTCCATTCGTCACTTTATTAGTAATGCAGAATCATGCAGAATGCATGATATTTTAACTTCAGTAGAATTCAGACTATCTATAAGTTCAACCTGGATGTTTACAAAGATAACAGTGCACTTTAGAATAATCAATCATGAATCAACCTTACGTCCTAATAGCTTTTCCGTCATATCTTTTACAAATCAAGATAAATGGTTTTTAAATACATGCTAATTGGTCAATAACTAGATAATAGTTATCATGAATCAACCTTACGTCCTAATGGCTTCAAACATGAGAAATTGGCATCTAGTTTTAAGATAACATCACACATAACTATCAGTAACCAAACAGCCTCTAATGGCGGTCGTTCCTTGACAATTTCCTTCCCTAGTCTAAACATTATAATTAGTCGAAACAAGCCAGTGCACATCCAATTTCAGCCAACAAAAATCAAGCAAAGAAAAAAAATAAGAATCTCACCCATGACCAAAAGAAGGATATCAAAAAACATAGGTTTAATGGGATAGCTTTATGCTTCAGCATCCGAGATGCTGCGATGGACGAGAAAAAAAAAAAGAGTTTGAAGACCGAGGATGAAACATATGGCGGCGTCTGTTCGGCCAGCGGTTCTGCCAACTGTACCATTTCTCCGCCGCATGCAGCGGCGGAGGTGAAAAGGAAGAGGAGAAAAGAAGGGCGGTAGCATGGCCGTGCTCCATACAGGCAATGGCCTCTTCGCCCTCGGCGGGTTTAGGGTTTAGGTTTTCGGAGCGCTGGTGCTGCATCGCTTAAGCGGCCTTCTTTTACCGTTTACTGCTCTACCTGCGGGCTAATAATCTTGAAGGAAAAGTGGGATTTTATTTTGAGATTATTTTGGGTTATTGGAGATAAATTTATATATTTCACTCTAATAAATTTAAAATAATATCATATAAATTATTTCGAGATTATTTTTAAATTATCGAAGAGAAACGCATATATTTTAATTTCGAGATTATTTTTAAATTATCGAAGAGAAACATATATTTTACTTTAATAACTCCGAAATAACCCACAAAAGTTATTTCGGGATTATTTCGAGATATTGCGTAGTTCGCAATTCTAGTTTAATTTTTTTAGATGAGTCTGATATAACACACATGACAGTATATTATTGGGAGTTAGCACGTAACTCCAGAGTTAGGATAGAAAATTTTTCCTAACTTTTGCCTCTCATCGACAATAAATTTTTGTGAGTCATTTATTAAAAATTGCCTGTTGCTACAATTTACATAAATTGATGCATGGGTACCTCCTAAATCTATAAATTTGTAGTTAAAAATTAGCTGCAATTACATACACAAACCCTTCGAAATTCGCAATGTACAAATCAATCACTCATTTTCCATTTTTCACATTCTCACACAAATATCACAAATATCAAATATAAAAACCCAGCCCATATTTTTCATGTTTATCAAATTCTAAATAGTTTGGTCATGACATGTGTGAAAATACAACAATTCAATAAATAAAAAAAATCACCTAGACTGTTAATTTATAAATATCAATATTTTGAATGGTTTGTATGTACGTATCCCTTAAAATTTATACTAAGATGCTCAAAATTATTTTTTTATTATGTTGAATTTCAAAGTTCTTTGATTTAATTTAGGATGATTAGAATATTTATATAACTAATTAATCTAAACTCTGACAAAAAATAAATTTAACAAATTTCAAATCTTTTAATTTAACGCTTACCAATTTTTGTTTTTTTTTCTATTATCTATCATATTATTTGAAAAATTAAGAAAAAATGTTGGAAGCAAATTAAGCAACAACAAACATTAAAAGAGTGCATAATATAAGCTTTAAAATTTAGAGAAGTCAGTTGAAATTCAGAATAATGCGGAATAAAGTTGAATACTTGATTGTTTCATTTGTATGAACGCGGGTATAAATAATTCTTATAAGAATCCTATAATAAAGAAAATAATAAAAAAAATGATATGAAAGTAAAGATATATCACCTGATATCTCCAATAATCAATTTATATTAATTATTAGAAGATATATGAAATAATATAAAATAGGAAACAAATAATTCCTAATCCAAGGAAAAAAAAATATAATTTAGGAAAGGAAATATCTTCTTAATTATAAAGAAATAATTTATTCATCACAACTTCTTACAAAAATAAATTATTTCCTATAGTAACTCCAAACACCCCCCTTAAGTTAAGAATGTATGTTACTAATTCTTAACTTGCTGAATAGTATAGAGAATTGAGAAGAGCTTAGTGGTTTTGTGAAAACATTCGTTGGTTGTTCTAAAGTAGACACATGAGTCAATTTTTTTATTCCTTTTTGAACTTTCTTTCATATGAGATGATAATCAATCTCGATGCTCAATGTGGAATATCTTCTTGAGGAAATTCATCGAATGAAGATATGTCAGCGTGGGTGGTGAAGTGCAAAATTGAGCCTTTATCTGTAGCGAAATAAGGGGAAGAAAAAATGTTTTCATGGAAATGAACATCTCGTGATACAAAAATCTTCCCAATTGAAAGGTTATAGACTCTATAACCCTTTTGCGTGTATGGATACCCTAAGAAAAGACATCGAATGACTCTGAGATCAAACTTGGTTGGCCCCTGATGATGTGTTGAAGCAAAACAAAGACACTCAAACATGCACAAATGATCATATGTGGGTTGTGTTTGGAAGAGCATTTCAAAAGGAGTCTTTCATTGGAGAGGGGGTGTTGGAGTTCGGTTAATTAGATAAGTTGCAGTTTTGATTACATCTCCCCAAAACTTTTTGGGTAAATTAGCTTGAAACAATAAGACTCGGGCTATGTTGAGTAAGTGACGATGTTTTCTTTTGACTACACCATTTGTTGCAGAGTGAAGACACAACTGGATTGGTGAATGATGCCTTCGTCGAGATAAAGATTCCTCAATATGAATTCAGGACCATTATCACTTCAAATGATTTTGACCTTTAAACTGAATTGTGTTTCAATGAGGTTTATGAACTTGATGATGTATGAATGTGTATCTGATTTATGGTTCATCAAAAAAGTCTATGTGCATCAAGTATAATCATCAACAATTATGAGAAAATACTGTGCTCTTGTTGTTGAAGAAACTTGGTATCCTCCCCAAATGTCAATGTGAATTACTTTAGAAGGTGTTTTTGAGCCAATGAAACTAGTTTGAAAAGATGAACGAGTTTGCTTAGCCAATAGACAAATTAATCAATCAAAAACATTACAAATTTTATTATCTATAATTGAAAAAGGAAACAAGCTGGAAAGCTTTATTCGATGGGTGGCCTAGACGTTTAAGCCAGAGATTTGGGGATGCTGAAGTAGCAACATTGCACTCGCTCTTTTGTAGAATATCAAGCTAATAGAGTCATCCACTTTTAGTTCCCGTCCCAATCATCTTCCCTGATTGTTGGTTTTGCAGCACACAAGTGTGGTTATTAAAAATGACAAGACATTGTGAATCAATCACAAATTTGCTAATGAAAATCAAATTTAATTTGAAGAAAGTGACACATAAAACATTTTGTAGAATGAAGTCTGCAAAATGGATGTTGTCTATGTGCGTGATAGTTGTAGTAGCCCCGTTAGGCGAGTGAATTTTTCAATTGGTGACACTGAATTTTGTAGTAAGTAGATTGGTTGAATATACCACGTGATACGTGGCTTTTGTGTCAAGAATCTAGTGCATTTCTTTGTTAAAAACAGAGGCACAAGATTTTACCTGAGATATCACTCATGGTTGATGTCTTGCTAACATGATTAGCCATCAAATTATATTTGTTATCTGCAAGTAATGATATGAGACATCGATATTGTTCGGTTGTAAGGGTGAATGGTGCATGACTCATCGATGTATTGGTATCTGCATGGATGGCTTTGGGGGCAAAATTTTTCCGTTCAGGTTTATTGGTCGCTTGATTGACTCTTTTCAGCTTCCTATAGTCATTGATGGTGTGTCCCTGCCATCCACAATAATCACATTTGAGATGTGCGAGACATTTGTCTGAGGTATGCCCAATTTTGTCACATTTTTCACAATTTAAATGAGGATCTTTAGGCATGAAAACCTTCTTTGGTTTTCGTGCATTATTCTTCAAGGCAAAAGTCGAAACTTTCAACTGCGGTGCACTTACATTGTTCATCCCAAGTTGTTTTTCCTCTTGAAGCGTGAGAGAATGTGTCTTGCTGACATTAGCAAGGGGATCCATGAGCAAAATCTGCCCTCTTATACCCGTGTATATTTCATTAAGCCCCATGAGAAATTTCATGATTTTCTGGTTTTGCTGAAACTGCATCACTTCCTTCATGGCACCACACATGCATTTAGGAATGTTATAGAGGGTGTCACGTTCATCCCATAGGCCTTTGAGCTTGGTGTAATAAGCTCCAACTGTCATATCGCCTTGCTTGCAATCGTGGATGACTTCTTCGACATGAAAAATATGAACGCTATTGGTAAGAGAAAAAAATGTTCCTTCAAGTCGAGCCAGATTTCATGGGCACTCTCATTGTATATTATACTTGCACCAATCTCTTCTGCAATTGAATTAAACAACCATGCATTGACAAGGTTGTTGCAGTGCGTCCATTATTGAAATTATGCGGTGGACGTCTCTGGTGGTTCTTTGATGGTGTCGTTAACGAAACCTTCTTTGTTTTTGATGTTAAGAGCCATCAACATGACACGAGTCCAAATATTGTAGTTTTCTTCATTCACTGGTTGTGTAATGAGCACGAGATCGGGTTAATATGAGTAGTGAAGATAAAAGAGGTCGTTCGAATTGTTGAATTTGCTAGATTTAAGCTTGACTGAATTTTGAGTTTTGTTTGTCATGTGTTTCGACCTAAAAAAAAAGATAGATGAGGGTTTCAACGTGGAAGAGGAGATGGTAAGACTCAGAATCGTGTTTACTTTAATATCATATTGAAATTTAGAATAATGCGGAATACTTAATTATTTCATTGATATGAACTGGTGTATAAATAACTCTTACAAGAATCCTATAATAGAAAAACTAATAAAAAAAATGATACTAATAAAAAAAATGATATGAAAAAGATATATCACCTGATATCTCCAATAATCAATTCATATTAATTATTAGAAGATATAAGAAATAACATAAAATAAAAAAACAAATAATTCATTATCCAATGAAATAAATATGAAATAGGAAATGAAATCTCCTTAATTCTAAGAAAATAATTTATTCATCATAACTTCTTAAATGAATAAATTATTTCTCACTATAACTCCTAACAGTCTAATTATGAAATGCATTGTTGCAATATTCTAATAATACATTTCCTTATTTTTGTGCACATTGAAATAATAAGTCCATCCCAATTCCCAACTTTAGGTCAAGTTCCACTTTTATCTTTTATGATATAAGAATTTAAATAAAATTTTTTAATAAAACTACAATTATTTTAAAATAAATAATATATAACATTGAACTAGTTACTTTTTGCCGTTAAAAGAGCGACAAGATTCTAAATTCCAAATCAGAAATGTGGCACTAAAACTATAAAACATAGAATTATAAAAGCAGTTTATTATTGGACGTGTATTAATTCATACATTCGGGGCATTTCAACTCACTCTACCTGAATGAATTTTATTGAACTGGTTCCCTGGTAACAATCAAAACCAGAATGAGTGATAATAATAATAAAGCACCTTCGTTTCCACAACCATTTTATCATTTCGTTAAATACATGCTTATAATTTTGCATTTTGCTGACCGAATGCTGGGTCGATGCACACCACCACCTGCATTTACAATATTGCAGTAATGTTAGTTTAGTGTTAATGGAAACAAAATTGTGGAAATAAAAGGCAACTTTCCTGAGTATACATAAATACATAAATTCCCTCCAAGTCTAGGGTGTGATACTCAAATTCTTAGGCGCAAAAGGGATGGTCGGGGCTCGTATAATAGCCTCTGACCATTCCACTAAAAATAATATGTATATATATATGTGTGTGTGTGTGTGTGTGACACATTAATAGAGCAATTTCTGGTCCATCTAGCTATCATCATTCAGCTTAAAGTTTGAACCACTAAAAATAATATGTATATATATGTGTGTGTGTGTGTGTGTGTGTGTGTGTGTGTGTGTGTGTGTGTGTGTGTGGAAGATTTACATACATGCCACCTTCCCTATGGATGAAAATGTGCAGTTCACTATTTTAAAATAACAATAGTCGTATGTTTGATGTGATATGAAAGATTTTGGTCGTGTAAATATAAAAACTAAATTATCGATGTTAGATATGTAAATAAATAAGAATTGGGTGGTATGTATGTAAACGATTGAGACATGACTCCAGCATAACGGATTTCTCCTCCGTGTGAGATTAAATTTGTACAAAGCCTTGTGCAAGAACAATAGAAAAAGAAAAGCATATCTATAGTTTACCTTGCCAAGGCTTTGACCAGAATGTAGATGCTCAACTGCATCAGCTACGGAAGCAAGACCCAAAAACTTCTTAGGATCCACAGCAACCTATTCCATTCACATAAACAAATTTATTAGAAAAAAAAAAAAATCTAACATATTTGACAATTGAGTTAATTTGAAATGAAAAAAATAAACCGGACAAAATAAGATCCAAGATAATTGCTACAGGAAATATAAACCATCGCAAGTAAATCCAACACACCTTAGCATGCACTTTAAAAGAGTAAATATCTCAAAAATAGTTGCTTAGACTGCTCTCTTCAATATTAGGAAGCTGAATTACACTAAGTGGATATTGACTGGGAGAGCTCAATGATGTTTTAAAGCTTATTTTTTTTTTAAAAAAAATTATGCCACTCTGATCGTCTTTTTGTAAGTTCATACAATGTCTGAATTTTTTTTTATATTTTATTTCGCTAACAAAAGCAAATCCTACTAATCCGTTACATGCAGGAAGAATCTTTATCTTTATTTCATCAAATGAAAATCCATACTGCTCATTATTAATTTTTGACAATATTTATTTCTTTTTTATAAAAAAATAGAGGACAAATAGGGTTTCCAAACTCAGGATGACATAGTAATTATTCTGCCTGAATTACCCTTCTTTAAAATAGATTGTTAAACAATTAGTTCAATTCCTTGTCCTAATCAACTTCATTCATCAAATTTCATTTTGGCAAGTATGCAAATTAAAATTTTTAACAGGTTCTATTCTAATTAATTTTCTCTAGAAAGCATGGATGTGTTCTATTGCAACACAATATCATCTTCAGTATAACTACTAAACCGTATAACATAATTTTTCTACTGGGATTTACAAATATGTGATTCAATCTTCTTTCTTCCTCCTTTGATGTAGTAAGTCCTTGGTCAGGAGCCTATTTTGTATTCAACTTGGTTAGCAAGTTCAATGTTATTATTAGTTTGAGCATCTCTATTTGTTCAAAATGAAGTTTTGAAATATTTCAAAAAGCCATATTTTCTGTATTTAAGATCATAAACATGTGATTAATCATTAGAATTTATGATGAATTGAAGAAAGAATTTCTATAGACCTCCACTCTTGAATTCTCTTTTCTAAAATCTCCCTCATTCTCGTCATCTCTACAACTGCTTAACCATTTTTCTGCATATTTTTGGCTTGACGCGGGCTTGGGTTCGGACCGGCGCATACAATTGACCGGTCCAGCCTTCCTGCCGAACCCGACAAGCCATGACCGAGTGGAAGCTTCTGCCCATCTTCTTCTCCTGCTCTAATGTCTCCCTCGCCTAAGCCTTTCCTTCCTTCTTGGACTGCATTTCATTATCTTGTCTTTTCCTTTCCACTCTCCTTTAATCTTTACCTATTTTCCTACTTACCTAATCTACCCTCCACTCACATCTTATTTATAATTGTTGTGTGCTGATTGCAAAACAGTTTTGATCATTCTCTGATTTTAGGTATGCCACTAAGGCATACCCTCTCCGAGGGTTGTATTTGAAGGAAAGCAGTGCTTCGGCTATACCTCGCCCAAGGTGATGTTATCCCCAAGCAGTCCCTTCCATCCTCAGCAAACATCCCAGCCTAATACTTCCCTCCGCACAGACGAGATACCATTTGCCCCTCCTGCTCGCCCCAACCATCTATAGATCCTGCCATCACCCATTTCTACTCAGGACAACCACGCGGCTCCTCCCCTGTGCAGGCCATGTGAACGCAAGTCAGTAGCATCCCGTCAGCTATCGCTATACCTCAGCATGAGCCCCCGCCACTCTACCGACCCTTCCGCCGGTCGTGTCTGCATCCTATCACCACCCTCTGAGCACCTGCTCGAGATGATTGTTTTTATCTTTTATTATTTGCTTTTGTTTTTATTTCCGCAAGTTGCATTTATCATTATCTGTGTTGTGTTAATTTGTAGCGTTGTCCTTGTGCCCCTTTTGAAATCAATAAAAAAATGTATATCGTCGCGTCGTCATTTGGGTTAAACCGTATAACATAAGTTTTCTACTGGGATTTACAAATTTGTGATTCAGTCTTCTTTCTTCCTCCTTCGATGTAGTGCAAGTCATTCATCAAGAGCCTATTTTGTATTCAACTTGGTTAGCATGCAATGTTAGTATTAGTTTGATCATCTCTATTAATTCAAAATGAAGTTTTACAATATTTCAATAAGCCATATTTTCTATAATTAGGGTCATAACCTATGATTAATTATTAGAATTTATGATGAATTGAAGAAACAATTTCTATAGAATTTATGATGAATTGAAGAAAGAATTTCTATAGAGCTCTGCTATGGAATTTTCTTTTCTAAAACCCCCCTCATTGTCGTAATCTCTACGACTGATTAACCATTTTTCATGCATATTTTTGGCCACACAACTTTGCATCTCAAATTACAGTCTTAACTGTGCTCCAGCTCCAGCTCCCATTAGTCTCATTGTTGCTCAAATTACAAACAGACTTATGATGCCCATTAGCCTCATTGTTGCTCAAATTACAAACAGACTTATGATGAATTGGTCAACCCAAAAACACCACAAACTCGAGCGGAAAAAATATAAGCAAAGGAAAGGATTAGCTTAATTAAATTTTAATGATCTAGTAGCATGCATTAAAATCGTCCAAGCTTATAAAGAAGTTTGTCTAGAATAATGATATTGCTCTTGAAGATTTACAGTGAATCTCTCTACCAAAACAATTGACATTTATGCAGAAAAATAAACTAAACTGTAAATGTAAACGTTTAAATTTAAACAAATTATTGTAAATATAAGTTTTATTAATTAGAATGACACTTTTGTGTTTTGGATTTTCATGAGTGTGATAAACTGAAACTGCTAGAGAATTTCCTCCCTCCAAATATAAATTTCCGCCTTGGAAATTCCAAGCTCACCGGGCCGGGCCGTGACACTTAGCCTCTTATATTGATAGCTCCTATGATCTTGGATGCTTATTCTGATACTTACAGTTCAACAATATTGCGCCTGTTGTTGCTCATAATTTTCATTTCCATGCAAAACTTGTGGGTGGATAATCAAACTCAAGATTGCATCCCTCTCCATCTGTGAATTTTCCATTTCATTTTCGATAAGATTCATTTCCACCACAAGATAAGCAACCATCTTCATATCAAGGCAAACTTACAATCCTTTTCTCTAAAAATGAGATCTCTGAACTTGCTAAATTGCTGTCCTTGTCAATTATAGGCAAAATTTTTTTGGGTCGCCATAATATAGATGTCATTCACAAATTCTCATCGAACTTGGCATCTATTCAATTGGGACAACTAATTCTGTCACATCATTATAAAACTATCCTCAAATGCAAACTATACCAAACTTTTGTTTACATGCACCTACTACATTATTAATGACTCCCCCTAAATTCAATAGCTGGTTTGCATCTGAATGGCTAATACACGTTAATTATAGTGTACTGCATTTTAGGGCAATAATTTTGATTAGATTTGGACAAATGAAATAGAATACAAAAAATAAAAGTTACATAGGTATTGGTCAAAAGCAAGTGTTAAGGTACCGAGATATATGAAAAATGAACGCCTCCAAAAGTCTCTGATATGATATTAGTAATGGCCTTGTGCTTGATGTTTGATTTTTATTCCAAAATAATATTTAAAAAAAAAACTGTTTCTTGATAGACATCAAACCGACAAGCTTGAACTAGTAAAAGTTTAAAGATTACAGAAGAAAGTACCTTAAGTTTTCCAGAAGAGTAAAGATCAAAGAGTCTATTTACATGCTCATGCCATAAGTGACTATAGTTATTCAGAAAAAATCCCGCCTGCAGAATTAATGAGTCAGAGAATGATTATAACTAAACACGAAAGTGTAAAAAGCGTAAAGAATAACAACGATGACAAAATTAACATAAAAACAAGGATGCCGCTACTATTTTAAAATTAAAATTATTTCATATGTTAATGTGCTTCGTAGTAATAAGCCAAATAATTAACGAATATACAGGTGGTGAAGAGTGGGTACAAGAACCGTGCAAGATAAAAATGAATCCTTAACCAGATGCACAATATAATAGCCGCCAAGGGACTGGAGGGTAATTTTCATGTGGATAATAGCAATTGTGAAAATACTTCCTAAACAAAGCCAGGATCCGTAATTATGTTAAAAAACTCCCCTCAATGACACAAACAACAAAACAAATACAAGATGAACCAGGTTTGTCCGTACAAAACCAGTTCAGAATTTTCTAATATGTACTGTTTCGGAAAGCAAGTCACAGATTGGCAGAGAAGATAAAGATGATTTCGTACGAGCGGAAAATAGAGTTAAGCAGTATGATATTTTAGATATGCAATTAGTTTAGGCCCAAAGAATTAGTTTTCAATTAAGAGGTCAATATTAATACTAAATATTAAAAAAACATTACAGATAAGTTTTATATTTAGACGAGATGCTTAAATAAAAATAATTCAAATGGTCAATTATGCTGGATAAATGAACAAGTACTGATTTATATATAATATTTATAAAAACCATCCAGGGCGTCTAGAAGATACTTAGGAAGTAGATTATGCGGGGAGGTTGTTGTGGAATGGCCAGGAAACAAAAATCTGCGAGAACAAGGGTATTTGGAAAAAGGTACAAGGTTTGGAATTGATCAGCGGCAGGGCAGCGACTCGGAAGCAGAGGACAGCAAGTTTCCGCGAACAAACAGCACGTAGACGCAAGTTCGACAGGCTTCTTGACTGAAAACAGCAGGTTGGATGGTGATACGGCAAGATATGGAAGGCGAGGAGGTTCCGCCACTAGTTTCTAAGCAATACCGACGCACCACTTCCAAAAGAAAATGATACAACACTTAGGAGAGAAAATTTAAGAGAGAAAACTCAAATTATAAACTAAGCAAAAACTGCATCCCAAAACATACAAAACATAAAAAGTCTCAAATGGAAAATTACCAAATTGAAAAATAGGAAAATAAGAAAGGAATACAAAGAAATAAAATGAAAGATGGAAACTTGCTAAAACTGAAATAAAAAAAAAAAAGAAATTAACAGGGATCCGGATGTTGCGATACTCGCGGAAACGGGTCGTGGATTTTTGTTCCGTTGTTTGGGTTTTTGTAACTGTCTATTTGAATTTCAACAATAATATCATTGCTCTATTGTGGTTTGGGTTAGATCATGTATCATTTGATATCACAGATAGCTTAACCCTAGTTCTATCCTAAAGTTTCTAAAATCCCCCTTATCAAGCCCCAAAAATTTTCTTTTCCCTCCTTCCACCTACCTATACCTGAAATCCCAACCAAGTCACCGTTGAGACAATTGTTAGAATCTGATTAGAAATCTACTGTGGGTGGTATACAATAACTAATATGTCAAGTACTACATCAACTCGATGCCATTGAGAAAAAGGCCCAGAGCTGTAGGGTGGGATTATTATTGATCGTAATAGTGAAATCTGTGAAGGAGAGCAAGAGAAGCTCCTGAATTCCTTCCGTAAGGATAATTCCAGTGGAGAAAAAAACAACTCATAATGCTTTGGGGTACATTATCAATGGAGGCCTAGAGCTGAAGTGTCTATTGGAAGATATAGAGATGAGGTGCTTGTTCGAGGATATAGAGATGAGATGCATATTAAATAATACATAAATGAGACGCCAGTTGAAGCATATAGAGATAGATTACCTGTCAGAAGAAGCAGAGATGAAAGAATAAAAAAAGGCAGCCCGCTGTTCTCAATCTTTTAGCATGGTAAAATTTGATAAAAGTGGCATCGTACAAGACCCACAATGGCTTTGCCATTCTTGAAGCAAGAACTATCCTATTGATGTTGTTAGGAGTAGTAAAGCAGGTTTCATAGCATTCTAAAACCAAAATCGTAATGAATTGCCATACAGGAATCTCCAGGAAATACTCTCAATATGTGAAAAGAGAAGAAAATAGCAAGTTGAGTTAACTTTTTCTTCTCTTTTTTTTTTTTGAAGCAACACAGAGAGCCAGCAGACGTATTATAGCGATACTAAAGAAAATAACGAAACCTACACCAAAGTCATTCCGGACATTCTGAGAGAAATTCTAAAGTGTCACTGTCGCATGAATGGTCACTTCCCAGTATGAAGTAAAATGCAACTTCATTTGCCCCAGTCAAGTGATCACACCCAAAAACCATCCTCAACAAGAAGGTTAATTTGGTCACATCAAGCCAACTCAACTAAAATTTAGCTCAATCAAGGCTAGTCAACTCTTCATTCAACCCATTTAATGTTAAAAATTTCCTACGCTAACCTAATTAATTAGGTTGTAACTCGATTAATTTGATCAACCCAGGTGGGTTAATGTTGACCTCCATATATGATCCACCAAAAGACATTACCAAATGCATAGTGAGCACAATTTCTCAAAAAATTGACTCGTAAATGTTCCATTCACAAGAAAGTACTCAACTAATTGCATTTCACAAAAACCATACCATTCTGATCAGTTTGTAATGCTATATCACTTGAGCTGCCATTTGAAGGGCTAAAGTTAGACAAAATGCCGAATCGAAAATTTTTTAGTGAGTCCCAACACACATGCTATCAAAAAAAGTATTAATATAAAAAAAATATGTAATGCAAAAATAAATCAATAAAACAAAATAACAACAACAACAATGATGATGTTGATGCTAATAATAATAATAATAATAATGATAATGATAATAATATTAACAATATAATAATAATAAAAGTATAACATAATCATAATTTTTTAGGATATTTATTATATTTAGTGTCCCTTTATATATAATGAAAGGGGTGCTACAGCCCCTTTCCCCACACATTTTCATGCCATCGTAGGTGCTTTTGCGCCGTCATGTGTTTGTGCATATAAAACTCGATTTAATAAAAAATCCTATAAAGCGTATCTTTCATGCTCCACTCCTGTTCTTTCTTCCTTCTGAGCTTCAAGACTTATCTCAGAACACTCAACTCCACACTTTTGCTTCAACCTTTCACTTGTCCCTTTGATGCGGGGGACACGAAAACTCCATGCATGCGAGAATGTGGAATCGCGCCGGGCGCACTTGGATGGTCTGGTCCAAGCATCCGTGAGAGTCATCTGACTTTTCCATTTGGGGTCACCTCTTTTCAACAGTAGGGCCACTCCTTAGTTATCTAGCATTATATATTGGTGCTTTCGTGTTGCTAGAGAGGTTTTGCATGGGCTCGAGACAGTCATCAGCGTCTCTCTTGTCCCTTCAAGGGATGTATCCAAGGGACCGAGTGATACTCTGACTGTATCTCACTCCCGAGGTGATGTTTATTGTCGGCCGCTATTTTTTTTTTTTTAAAAAATGTTTTTTTTAAATTGGATTTAATATAAATATAATTTTTGAAAGTAACATTTTAACTTTTAAAAAATAGATGAGACCAAACGAGTCTCACATATGAAATAATTTAGATGGTTGAGTGCGATACTACAAGTAATACACTATCCCAAAAGATGAGCATACCACTTAACTGTAAGCTCAACCACCTAAACTAAGAAGTTTGTGACATCTGTTTGGTCTGCAAAACCTTTTATATATGATCGAAATATGACCGAAAAATTCTCTTACCTAATATAAGGATTACATAATATTTATTTTATCTGGGTTCCAAGTTCCCTATAGAATCAAACTCATATAGTTAATTACATCTTAAATGACCGGGGCCAATTAAGAAGACTCTCGATTAAGATCAGTGGTTTTACCTTTGCAGATTTCAAAGTTTAAGTTTCCAAGATTGGACACGGGAAAATCAAACCAGAGTGACTCAAATAGGAACAATTATTTTAAGATCCAAATGAATAAAGAGTGGGGGATATCCCAAATCCAGGGGAAACCCTGATAATTTCCCAACTATCCTATTGTTTAGTTTTATGTCTTTGAACTGGTAATTTCCCAACTATTCTATTGTTTAGTTTTATGTCTTTGAAGTGATGTTATTCAATATTTAATCCTGCAATTTATTTTTAGAATTCAGGACTTACATTCGCACAATATCTGATCATGCAAATAACATAGAAAGATAGGAGGATTTACACCGTATCGTACGGTAACTTCGGAATCCTAAAAGTGTTAGGACTTATAAATTGCACAACAGAGTTGTGCAAAAGCCTAAAGATAATATGTGAGGATTCACGTTGCGCTAAGCAAACTACATCAAAATCCTATGGGTTGTTATTTTAACTAAGAAAAAGTTTAGTTGTCGTAGGTTTATTGTAATGTTGTAGATCGTCATCCTCCGTCCGCTACATCCTGAAATTAAGAAAAAGTTTAGTTGTCGTAGGTTTATTGTACTGTTGTAGATCGTCATCCTCCGTCCGCTACATCCTGGTTGTGCTGCCCACGAAGATTTACTTCATGTCCCATGTAGTGGTAGTTTCAAGTTTAGTGCCTTATATGTGAATGTGCAATATTGTTATTTAGTGACTTACTGTTGTATATCTCATAAGCCACACTATATCCTAATGGTTTTGTAGTTAACTTAAAGCATGCATAAACAAACTGTTATATGAAGAAGAGTAAATGAAAACAGTATAAGTGCGGTAAATAGAAACAGTATACGAAAATACAGTAAAGTGCGATAAATGTACTATAAATTTTGGGTACCTTATTTTTCTTATTATTGCTGCACTTGTAAATGGAATCAACGTCACAGGTAACAGTATAATAAACAAATTCAGCTAGCAGGACAAACATGTGTCTATGTATAACAGAATAAATGATGGAGTAGCAAATAGAAAGTCCTGAGGAAAACTGAAATCGACCCACATAAACTCGAAACAAATCATAGAAAAAGACAAACAAATAAAACAAAACACAATCTCACATATAAAGAACCAAGGGTGGGAGATTTAAATGTGACATTGGGAATGTCCCCAATTGCCAAGAGGATTTGAGTGTAAGGCTCAAGCTCAAATCCAGGAGCATTGGGTTTCATTTTAGATCAAGTTATGAAGAGAATTTCATTATTTGATTTAATTAAATCAGTCACGAACCACAGCTTAGTGCATACCCTTTCTATTGCTTTAACTAACTTGTGAATTAGGGTCGTGCCTAGTTTCAGTGCCTATTTGAAAATTAGGTAGACGAACTCTCACCTACGGTGTGCTCCTAAAATCTAGGAGGCCTACACTTGAACTTGAACTTGAAGTGTTTTAAAGTGCTATGTCATCAGTTAAGTGTTTTTCAACTAATCCTCGAACATCTTTATATCAAACTTAGCTCACTATCCGGCTCTTAAGACCTAGGGGTAAACCTATAATTTTGGCAAAAAGATTCGTGAAATGTGCTTCAATCATAATTAAAACAATTGGGCTTAAGTCTAACCAATGCTTAGGGGTCCTAATTGATAACCTATTGATCTCTCAATCCATGCCCCTAACTCTTGAATCATTTAAGCTCTTACTTTCTCTCAATTCTCAACAATTCTCACAATTACAATTTTATCCTTCTTATGTAAAAAAAATAGTGAATGGTCGGCTACCCTATTTCCCCTTTATGTTTCAATCATCTCAACAGACTAAGTATCATTTTTTTTTAATTCCCTCCCCTTTCTTTTTATTTTTTAAGGCCGTAAATCAATCCTGAAAATAATTAAATAAAAAATTCTAATTTTTAACTTAACCGTTATAATAAAAAAAAACAAATCAACGAAAAAGAAAGGCTGACCCACTTCTAAAAAAACAAATCAACTAAGCAATGGGCAAAACCGCAAGTGAATCGGCCTAAAGACGTTTAATAATCAAATCAGCTCCCAAAATATCAAGTAAACCAGACTCGAAAATAGCATTCGAAGTTTTCAAAACAACGAGAATATAACATTTAAAATGACGTAAGAGTAACATTTTGAGACATCCACTTTAGTATTTAAAAGAAGACTCAAATGAAACAGTTCAAATTTTCAAAAAGAAAGAAGCTCTAAAGACTTTCAAACCTTCAAAACTCAAAATTGTTACAGATTTAAATTTTCCCAAAAGAGAAATGAGGGGTTTTAACGCTCCCAAAATGGTAGACGAATCAAACCAAAAGTGGTGCAAGTTCCTTCCATAATTTTCTCACATTTTCCACTTATGCAAAAAGATGCATTTCAATCTACAAGGTAATGAAGAGTTTGAGTTGCATAAATATAGAGGGTAAAGTTCAAGCATTGGACATATGGAAAAACATGAGCATTATATAATATGTGTGTAACTTTTCCAATAAACTTGTAAGAATGAGCGTTACCCAACATCTGCCACAAAAAAAAAAAAAAAAAAAATCTCTTCTGTGGTTGTGAAAGAAACAAAGGCACATGGGAGACGCTACATATATATGGGAATTTCCTTACACATGTACTCACTTGGGAGAACTGTATCTCTCCAAACTTTCCAAATAGAACATAGAAACTTTCAGATATTTGTAAAAGTAAAGCATCGAATCTTTCAGATTTTTGCAAGTAACAAAACTATAACTTTCAGATTTTTGCAAATAACATACATAGAACTTTCAGATTTTCAAAAAATAAAACACCAAAGTTTTCAGATTTTGAAAAGCAAGGCGCCAAAAATTTTCCGATCCTTGCCAATTGCACATGAAAAATTTCAGATTTTTGCAAAAATAAAGCACCAAAGTTTTCAGATTTTGAAAAGCAAGACACCAAAAATTTTCCGATCCTTGCCAATTGCACATGAAACATTTCAGATTTTTCCAAAAACTTTCCAATCTTTTGCAAATATAACATATAAACTTTCAGATTTTTGTAAGAGTGAAGCATTGCAACTTTCCAGCTTGCCAAAATGTAAACTAGAATGTGGTCTTAATCATGCTTTAAAATTATTTAACTAAGGAGCAAGTAGAGAGCAAAGGAAAGCTCCTAAATGTTTCAAATTTTGCAAATACGCCACTTAAATATTTCAGATTTTGCAAATATGCCACCCAAATATTTCAGATTTTGCAAATACGCCACCCAAATGTTTCAGACTCTGCAAATACGCCACCAAAATGTTTTAGATTTTGCAAATGAGCCACCCAACATTTTTGATAGTCCAAAAGACATACACGATTGCATGCATAGGTAAAGTAGCACATATGTGAGTATTGAAATTTGGGTGTTAAATATGTAAATATAAAAGAACTGGGTGGTATGCATGTAAATTTCCCTAAGATAAATCTCACAAGTTTATCTCACTATTACCACCTACAACATGTATTGTTTTAGAACTGTCTTGAACTAACTTTATATTAATGAGAAAAGGGTGCAATAATGATTCTGAATCCTTACTAAGCGTTGATCATCAACTCTTTCATGACAACAAGCTTGATGCCACATGCATAAACTGTTGTTGATGCCATCGACTCATTCATTTAGTGACATAAGGTGGTAAATATTCTATGCCATCTCTTCGTGATCATGGATTCTTGTAATCAAATTCAGATCACTTATTACTTAACAAGTCAAACTATCCCAGCTTAAGAACTTACAATTACTATAACTTGAAGATGATACTTTTCCAATCATGACTGCATCAATACAATCCGTAATTCAAGCATTTTTACCAGCAACAAACCATGGAGAAAATTGCTTACAACAGACATTCAGGCAATCACATAATTGTAACGATGGTAGGAAAGTTATGAGATCCACAATTGCAAATGTCCCAAAGTTATATAGTAAGAGCAGGAATTAAAAATCATTTGATCAGCTCAAGCTACCTGAAACTTGGTAGTCAAATATGTGGAATGTGTGTAAAATTTAAGTTTGGGTGTTAGATTTGTAAACACATAAAAAAAAATTGAATGATATGTAGCTAAATCTTCTCAGTGTACACATAGCAGCTCAATAACTTAAATTCAAGAAATATGCTCTGACCCAATCCGTAAGAAAGAATGATATATGCTTTGACCTAATCCGTAAGAAAGAATGCTTCTACAAAACTCTCTGAGAAATCTGATATCTCCGTAGAAGCAAACCGGAAGGAATCTTCACAGTTTTGTCTGAAAAAAAGTATATATATTTTTTTATAACCTAAGGCGAAGAACTTTATGAGCGTTCTCGTAACATATAAGCCAATGTAGAAGGATCCATGGCAATTCATGCAACTAAAGCACGTGATAACTTATCTGATGTTTTCTTATCAAACGAATAGAAAATCATATGTCAAATCTGGACTAAAGCACAAATTTTGTAAGCATAGAAATAATTACTGGGCTATAGTGCACATTTACATAGAGTTTATGTTTCCTCAAACTTGAAAGCCGATGTTTGAGCCTCAGCTTTCTTCGGCGCAGCAATAAGATAAAGTGAATGGCTCTTTTTTTATGAATTCCAAAAACATAGTATGGCAGCAAGTAATTCCCAATTAAACAAACACAACTTTTTGCATGAAGTGTTTCACAATTAAACCAAAGAGGAAAGCAGTAAATCCTTACTTCCCAAATGCCTGAAGAAAGAAGAACAAAGTTGGCTTCGGACCAACCAACAGGAATCCAACCAACAACCACACCGCTTTTTTTTTATTGCTCAAAGGAGAATAAAGAAAACCAAAGCTCCAAGCACACAAAACACAGACCAACCAAGTGGGAAGAAGCACTCAGAATTTTGGCAGAACCTCCCCTTCTTCAAAATTTCGGCCAACCCTAAAGCCTCACCCTAAAGCCTCCCCAGGGTGGGGTTTTATAGGCAAAAGAAAGAGGAGCAACCATCTACCAACCCTAATGGTGGCCGAATGGGGTGATGGGAGAAGAGGAGCGTTTAGGGAAAAGGAACAGGCGGCCTAGGGGAAAGGAAGGGTCGGTCAGGTGGAGTTTCTCCATTGGAGAGCTGCTCGGTCGAGCGGGGATCGAGAGGGCGAGCCGCTAGTGAGAGAAGAGGAGGGCGAGTCATCACAAGAGAAATAGGAAATGGCTGGAATTTCTAAAGGGATGGTTTCCAATACTAGTTTTCTAAGATAGTCAATAGGAACGCCTAGAGCTAGATCCTAGGATCCTAAGGAAAAGAATAATGACCTCAAAATGAGGTCAACATTTATCTTCCCTTAACCTTCTGCAACCTTACCTCATCAATCCCCGTCACCCCTTCACTGCTGTAGCCGCAGAAACAACAGATTTTACTATTGTTTCTGCCAGTTACGCCATTCCCAACCTCCCTGCATCGCTTCCTGCCTACTTCCTTCCAAAACTGCTGGAAATCTCTGTTTTCCTGTGGTAGCGCACCTTCTCTTCCAGACATGCTGCTATCCCAGGAAAGTCACCCCACTGCTGCCTTCCCTCATTCCATCCCCTCGGGACAGCTGATTCGTGCTGTTTTCTGTCAGTTACAGCAATTCCTTGCTTGCTTCCGCCCAAGATAGCAAGCTGACACTGTCTTGCCATTGTTTCCCCATAGCCCTGCACCTTCCTGACCTCGCCTCCACCTTTCCAAGCCCCTAACAGCCACCACCACTACTCGATATCCACCCTAACAGCGTGTAGCGTCTTGATTTGTTGCTATTTCTATTTTCTATTTGTCGTACCATATTTGCTGCTATTTCTATTTCTGTTTGTATGGTTGTAATTCCCTATTTGAATTCAACAATAATTTTTAGTCTCATATTATTGTTTGGGTTAATTCCGATATCACCCTTTCCCGCTGGCCACCTCTATCTTTCTCATACAATCTCATTCTGAAAATATATCAACCCCCGTCATCGAAGCCATCACCCTGCATAAAACCCATATGTGTCTTCCTTGTTATATTTGGGGGAACAGTGAGGAAAATTTATATTACCCTATTTTGTGCTTTTCTTGTGCAAGGAATTCCTCCACAGCAGGAAAATCTAAAGAAGGAATCTGAACACAACAGCCAGAAAACTAAACCCAAAAATCAGAAAATAACAATTTATAAGCTCCTATTGGAGAAGAAAAGAAAAGAAATAAAGAAGAAAACTCCCACAAAACAGGAAGGAGTGAGGAGGCAAGAAAGATCCAAAAAATAGCCATTAAAGACTTCCCATATGGAGAGAGCACAAAAGAAAGCAGATAGGAGGGGCGAAAGCCCCGCCTCGTATGGAAGCTGCGAGAACTCCAACCCGGTCCAATGGACTGGTTGATTGGCGAGAGTTTATTGCCAGCCAACTGAACCAACTGGCGCTTGTAGCACCCATGTAAGTGGGTGCCTGTAGCACTCGTGTTAAAGTCCGCACTATGACAGCCCTAACCCGAAAAAAAAGGTATTTGTGCTAAGTAATCAATGCTTTGATCACCAATCAAAAGAGGTTAAGGTGTTTTAAGTATTTGTGGAATATTTTTAATGATAATACTTTTTTGTAAATTATGTTTTTCATGTTTTCATTGAATAAATAAGGTCTTTTATTTAGGATTATGAAATTGAAATTAAAAGGTACTCTTTTTATCAAATCCAAAGTTTAGCAAAACTTTGGCCTAGAAAATTTATTGTTCTCTTGACAGAGGGAATTGAAAAGCCTTGGTTATGTGTCAAAGCTTGTTCATTTATAAGTTCTTGTGGCTTTCATCAGTAACATCATTCCCTTAAGCTTTTTAGGACATTTGTTAAAGCTCCCATTTGTCTTTATGTTGTAATTTACATTCTTATTTACGTTTCAATGTACAATGAAAATCCTGAATTTAGGATTGTGAGAGTGCGATTAGAAGACAAATTTTTTTATCACCCACAAAGATTGGGGAAATTTTGAACTAGGAAATTTATTGCACCCTTGAGAGAGGGATTGTAAAATCTTGAGTTAACATTTGCAAAAACAAAGGTAGGTTGCTCTTAATCTATCAAATTGAACTTGTAATGCTCTTCTCAACCACATGAAGCGGAGTACATCTTCGCTGTAGTAAAATCATAGTAGCGGGAATCCTAAAGTTGGGAGATTTTGGCATGGATATTGGCTAAATTGCAAACAAACCATGCAAAATTATATCACAATCGCTCTATAGCTAGTTTATTCATTTGCTTATCTAAAACAATATAATAAATTTGGTGAAAACATAATTGTTTATTGTGTGATTATGTAGAGATTCATTAATACTATGCTTAAAGTTAATTGCACTCATACTATAATCATTAGCATCACCATAATGTTGCATATAACTTAAAAATGTAAGTGAATTAATTGTAATAACTAATGTAATTGAATTAATCAATTCAATTTGAACTTCATTGTATTAAACTAGCTCAATTTGATTTATAACCTACGAAATAAGTTACTTATGTGGTACCAAAAAATTTTTTGCTTTTATGGCATTTTAAAAAGATTTAAATAATAGATTGATTAGCATGCATAATCAAATATATGTGTGTAAGAAGTTTGTATAGTAAAGCATGCATAGTCAATACACATTGTGTAATTATTGATTTCTATATCTATACGCTTAGCTTTTAATTTGATTAGTGAGCTTATTATTATATTATTTTATTTCCACATTTTCATTACTAGAAGTATTTGTTTTATGCAATACTTGTAAAAAAAAAACATTTCAAAAATATAGATAAACAGACCTCTTAATTCGTCATTCAACTCAACTCTAACCACAACCAAGAAAGTATTAAGACCCAGATCGCTTATATAATAATGGCTGACATTATCTTTTGCTTGGGCCACAAAGATTCAGGTCTGAATATATCTTTCTTTATAGCCAAACATCAACTTACTAAGTTCTTGCCAAAATAATAGCCTACAATGTACTAACTCCATGGTATTATGTGCTCCACTATTTATGATAATATCAATAAACAGAACAATCATAATAAAAGTGGCGCGGAAGAGTCCCCTTCCACGTGAGGGGAGGGATGAGATTTCCCGTCACGGGGAGGGATGAGATTTCCCGTCACGTGAGATTAGTAGAGAGAAACTACCCGCCTACTGATTATTGTGTGCATTGTGGGGCCTCTATTTGCCTAATTTTAAATTATAACTAGGATTTTATTTACCATAGTATAAGTAGGTTGCTTAGAAACTGGCTGATATTGGAGTTAACCTTAAACAACGAGAGACTAGAAAAAATATTGCTGAAATTCAGTAGAGTTAAAACCATGATTCTTAAACAGAAACAAAATGACACAAACACCAATGCTCAATAGGGCGAGGACAAGATTAGTGGGTTGCGGCTAGACAACAAGCAGGCAAGGGAAGGGTAGTGCGGCAATGAGCAGGTGACTCGTGGGGGACGGAGCGGCTGGCACAGCATGCGGGAGAGCAGAGAAGCGGTAGAGCAGCTACGAAAAGGGATGGGTAAGGGAAGTAGATAGCAGGTGGTTCAGTGGGGTGTGAAGCAGTAAGCAGGTTGGTGGACTGGGCGGCGGGAAACAACAGGGAAGGGTGCGGGAAGAGGTGACAGCGAGCATATCGGTGGACTAGGTGGCAAGAAACCAGAAGGGAGGGTGTAGGGAGAGGTTGCGACAAGCACGTGAGGGAGAAAGGTGAGTGAGATCGAGAAGATAATCACTACCTCGAAACATGATACAGTCAGAGCACCACCTGTTCTCGGATACAAACCTAGAAGGGAAAAGGGGATGCCAGAGACAGTCCACATAGAATTCTCAAAACCAAAAATCTAACCCCAAGGAAAATGAGAAAGCATTAAATATAGCAGTAGGTAAATAGGCAGGGGGAAGATCCCTCCCCTTGAGCGACAACCCTAGCTAAGACCAAAAGGCCGGCAGCCGCACCCTTGTGGCTCCCCTATTGAACCAGTTCAGCACCCCGTTCAACCCCCCAGTGAGCCCCTCATCACAAGCTATCACCCGCTATGAACTTTTGCATTGCTTTCATAAAATCAGAGATTTGTTTCTCTTAAAATTTCTTATTCTGGGAGCTGTAGCATATTCTTCTTCGAATAATGAGTTTGTCTCTTGAAAATAATCAGTGGTGGAACCTTCTGACATCCGTACATCGCTGTCCCAGCAGCTGACCACACTCCTTGCTGTTTTTCATCCGGAACAGCAGGTGCTGCCTGGTTTTTTCATTTCCCGTCGCTTGCCAAATGGCATATTCTTCCCTTCCTTCATCCAGCCCATTCCTAACATTTATTTTGATCCTTTACATTTTCTAGGATTCAGGAGTCCTAGAAAGTGTCAAAAAATAATTAAATAAATGCAAAAAAAAAAGCATAATAACCAATTATTCTGATAAAATAAAGTAATTAAAAGAAGAATGTCAAAGATACTTAGCCTCCAAAAAAAAATATAACTAAATTTTAGCAATAGATACAGCTCATAAAAAAATCACCTGAGAAACCATTCCGATTACAATTAGTCTCCCATAGACTGCTAACGCATTTAAGCAGACATTAAACATCTCTCCTCCAACAGATTCATAGATAATATCAACACCCTTCGGAAATTCCTTTATCAGTACCTAAATAATGGACAATAAAACAAAGTAAATAAAGGAATGATTCTAAGATTCACGTAATTAATATTACTTTTAGAAATCAACTCGTAATTATCCCAAAACGAGCGGAAATATAAAAAAAAAAATTCTAAGTGAAGCTTGCATGTAATAATAATAAAATAAAAGCTTCCAAAGTAAAATTTCTAAAAAAATTTCCCAATCAAAATTTTAAATCAGACTTACACTCCGTTCGATAGAGATTTTATACTGCTTTCCGTTCTACCGAAAGTTAAAAAATTTGGTTTGGCAGCAAGTCTTTTATAAAAACACTTTTGAAAACCTGTCTTTCTTTCAACAGCTGCTCCTATTTCTGAATAACTTTAATATACAGCCTTCCAAAGAAAAACTTTCAAACAAATTTTTATAATAACTAAAGCTCTGCCAAATGAAGCCTTAAAGACATACATTTAGAAACTTCATAAATTCTAATCAATCAAAATCACCAATTATTTATGATGAAATGAAAACAATGATAGCACTTCAATAATTTAGCAAGAAAAAAAACATGTAAACCACACAACTTTCCCTGAAATTACTGTGATCTAAAAAAAACAGTAAATTATCAAAACATGCAAATAAAAACGAAAGATACCTACATCTTTTATATTTTCCTTTCTGTAATCTATTACACGATCAGCTCCAAGAGATCTCAAAAGCTTAGCTTTGCTTTCACCGCCACAAGTTGCAACAACCTTATTTCCAGCTAGTTTTGCTAGCTAATAAGAGAAAACAAAGATCAATAAGATGACCTACGTTGAATCAGAATAAAACACAATATCAAGAATATTGCAATAGAGAACTAGGTACATGGTTGCTCTTATGTAAAGTACACCAAACATTTTCTGCCTTTGCCATGCTTCTATTTTTCCCCAGACATAAAAAGAAGAATAAGAAAAAAATTCTGGTTTTTGAAAATTTAATGGAAATATAAATCAACAAGAAGCATTAACATAAAGATGATCATAAACAAAAGCAACTACAACAAAAAAGTATACGTAGGCCTATATTATGCTTGATGTATCAAGTAGTAGGGCTCCCAATTGTTGAAGGTCATTATTAGTAATTTAATATTCTCAAACATAAAGCTAGGGGTGTAAGTCAGCCAAGCTGGCTCGGGCTCGGCTCGATAAATGACTTGTGAACTGAGCTCGATGAGCTAACAAGCCAAGCCCAAGCCAGCCCTAAATAGACTTGTTAGCTTGTGAGTAGGCTCATTTATAAAATAATTAATATAAATTTACTCAAAACATACTAAAATTCAAAACCTTTTGTTTAAAATTTTCAAAATGTTAAAAAAAATGATATTTTATATTTTATACCAAATGATTTCTTATTATTTATCTTCTAATTGTCCATTCTATTTATCACTTTATTATAACACTAGTTTGAATTAATAATATTTTCTCTCTTTTATATTAATCAAGTCAGCTCAAACTTGTAGAAATAAAGTTCGAGCTCGAGTTCGATCAATTAATCAAGCTCAACCCAAGACTGCCACGACCTTGACTCGACTCGTTTAGACCCCTACTTGGATGGTACTATGCTCAACCCAAGGCCGGCATAAGCTCAACCCAAGGCCAGCACGACCTTGACTCAACTAGTTTAGACCCCTACTTGGAGGGTACTATGCTCCCTTATTTGTCCCATTGGGTTTCCTCCCACAACAATTTATATACCCCACATATTTAGCCAATTAGATAAGAGTAAATTTTCTACTCAACATAGTATCATAATAAGAGAAACGCAGCCACCAGCAAAACAATCTCATCCAAACACTAGTCAATCATGCCCCAAAGCATCACTACCACTCTTGGCCCATTCCTTACAGGCATGTGGGCACACACACACATCCACACAACCAAGCAATGAGGCATTCTGAATTTGCCCTCTCAAGCAGGGCGAGACCCAAACAGTCAAGAAGGAACCAATTCAGCATGGTCAGCTCCCATGACTAGCTGATCCCTTTGGCTAGTTAATTAGGGTTTCTTTTTCCTAGAGACATTTAAATATGTTGTAAATTCTACTTGGACACTTTTGGCTTTGGTTTTAGGCATTAGAGATTATTCTCTCTAGTTTTCCCTTGTCGAATTTTTGTATCATTAATCTTTCCAAGGTGACATGTTTGTAACCTAATTGGATCAAGATGTTGATCTCTCCCAAACATTTGAATATCATTCTATACCTTTGCATCCACAATCTAACTACAATTTTCTACATCTAGTCCGCTTGCACACCTTTCAACCATCACTAATGTGTTTCCCTTCATTTCTGTTCCTACCAATATCATGTGATCTTCCCACACCATTTATGAATCCTAGATCGTTGTCATTTGATATTAGACGATCAAAAACCTAAATCTTTTAAGATTTATTTTTTCCACTCCTAAACCCAAAATAACACATCATTCCAATCAAATTTTGCAACCCTATCCTCCATCCCTAACCCTAACCATAAACCATTCTCTCTATCCTAATTGGTAGAGGAGACACCTTGTCGTTGAAGAGAAACATGCAAAGTGTTGTCAATGAGCTTAATACGAAAAGGAAGATCCCAAACCAACCTACCTACCGAATAAGCTTAATCGAGTACTAGGAGTTGGAGAAGTAAATTATAAATTTGATGGCCAGGGGCTTGGTTTGTGAGAGAGCAAATCCTTCTGTAGTCCCAATTTTGATTGCGCCAAAGAAGAATAGTTCTTTTCATATGTGTATTGTTAGTATAGTTGTGAATAAAATCACTATCATGTATCGGTTCCTCAACTGAATGATTTATTGAATCAGTGTATGCGGTCAACATTTTCTCCAAGATCGATTTATGCAATGGTTACCACCAAATCCGAAAGAGGTCAGGAGAAGAATACAAGACAGCTTTCAAGGCTCAGGATGGACTACACGAATGGACAATCACGTCATTTAGCTTATGCAATAATCCGAGCACTTTCATTCAATTGATGAATCAAGTTCTCAGATATTTCAATGAGAACTTTGTTGTTGTGTACTTCTACGATATTTTGGTGTAAAATCATTCAGAGGTGGAATATTTGCGGCACTTGCGGCACTTGCAAAAATTATTCAGATAAAATAATTAAATGGCCACCCAATAAGTGTCATTTTCTGACACCGCAGATATAGTTTCAGAAGCCGAAATTGGGTCAAAACAATTGTGCATTAACCTAGCTTGTAGTCATTCACTCAGGTATATATACCATAGTTTGATTCCTGTTTATAAGATATTTATTAGAAATTTTAGCTAGATAGTGGCACCTCTTGACGAAGTTTCACAAATCAGTCAATTCGTTTGATCAAATGAAGCACATACTAGCTTTGAGGCTTTGAATAAATAGGTTACCCAACCCCCTATTTTAGCTCTTCTAAACTTCAACCATGCATTTGAAGTGGTGTGTGATGACTCTAATTTAAGAATTGGAGTTGTATTACGCTATGGAGGACATCTCATAGCCTTCTTCAGTGAAAATTTGAATGATTCTAGAAAATAAAATACATATGACAAGGAGTTTCTCATCAATTATTTGAGTCACTATCTGTTCGCAAATAATTTCACCATTTTCACTGATCATTGAGTGTTGAGGTTCTTGAATAGTCAAAGCAAACTAAAGCATAAAAAAACTTCTTGGGAAAAGTTACTCTCTTCATTCTACTTTGTGCTCAAACAAAGGACATAGAGCCAGAATAAATTAGCTAATTTAGATCCCTTGCTAATCACTACCATGCAATCGAAGATAATTGGACTTAACGTGTGAAAGGATAGTTATGTCACTGATGAGGATTTTCAAGATAGTTGGGCTCATTATCATGACAAACAATATAAGTAGTTCAACAAATTAGATGGTTACTTATTCTAATAGAACATATTATATATTACTAGGACTTTGCTCAAGAAATGTATTTGATAGGAGTGTCACGATAGGGGAATAGCTAAGCATTTTAGTAGAAACAAGGCTCTTTCCATAGTGAAAGAGAATTTTTTCTGACTTAAATTGGTACGAGACATGAAGATGTATGTCAGGCAATGCAAAATATAGAGTACAAGTCTCTATACACCACTACCTATTCTAGGTGGGTGTGAGTCTCCCAAGGAGCAAACGAAGTAAGGATTTAGTTATGGTAGCAATAGACCGCTTCTCCAAGAAGGCAGCTTTGTGCCTTGCCACAAAATGATGGATTCATCGTACATTTCAAGACTTGTACTTCAAATAAAGAGTTCTCCCGCATGATGTGCTCAAGAGAGCCTTCTCAAATAGGGACGTAAAATTTTTGAGTCATTTTTGGATGACTATGAGGTATAGACTAGTCACAAAACTTAGTTCAATTCAACAGCTCGCACGTAGATGGATTGACTAATTGATGTGGTGAATCACAATTTAGGCAATTCACAAATGTTTTGTGGACAAGTAAAACAATAAGTGGGACTTAATCTTCCCCAGATCGAGTTTGGTTATAATCATTGCACCGACCAGTCCACAGGTTGTAGTCCCTTTGAGAATGCATATGCAAGGACCCATTCACACCCTTGGAGCAAATGCCCATACTCTCCGCTACTGAGCATAGCACTGATGTTAAGGCTGGTAAGAGAGATTCAAGCATTTTATGAGGTGAGAAAAAAATTGCCAAGCTCTAAGTTCCAAATGCCCATTCAGGATTGCCGAGAAGATTAATGACAATGTGTACAAAATTGACATGATAGAAGACAATATTTTTGCTATTTTTAACATTGCAGACCTATCACCATATTATGAGGATCCTAAAGAGCTTAATAAATAAAGTGAGCCCTGTCCAACAAAAGGAAAATGACAAGGCATCTGACATCTGCCCTCCCACAAGAAGCAAGACTAAATAAGTCAGGGGAGGGACCAATTCAACATTTCCAAGGCCATGGCTGGCTGGCCCCTTTAGGGGACCGATTTACCAACTTAGGCTAACTAATTAGGGTTTCTTTTGCGTTGGGAGATTTAAATATGTTGTAAAATTCTATTTGGAAAATTTTTGCTTTTTTTATGCATTATATATTATTCACATTAATTTTCACTTGTAATAGTGTTGTATCATAGATCTATCCCATGTTGTGCCTGCAACCTAAATGAATCTAGGCGGTGATCTCTATCATAGATCTATCCCATGTGCCTGCAACCTAAATGAATCTAGGCGGTGATCTCCCCTGAACGTCCGAATAGCTTTCTATACCTCTGCATCCGCATAGTACCTTTTTTTTTTACATCCAGCATGTTGTCCAACCACCAGTTGCACCCGTTGTTAGCTACTGCAGCCGGTTTTCCCTCTGTTCTTTTTCTTAGCAGTATCCAACCCACCTTTGATCCTCCCAAACCATATAAGAATCCTAAAACGATGTCACACACATATGCATACATACATACACATATGCATAGATAAATTATAAGTTTTACAACTTATATAATTACTTAGTATTATCATATAATTATTGGATAATTGTTAGTCACAAACGGTTGTGAAAAACGACAAAAATAAAGCGAAAAATAGGAACGAGAAAAATTCGCAAAACAGAAAACACAACAAAAACACACAGATTTACGTGGTTCGGCAAATTGTTAAAAACACAGCGAAAACACACAGATTTACGTGGTTCGGCAAATTGTCTGCAACTTCCTCTCTCTTTTCCTCTTTCTCTCTTCCTTTATCTCTCTCTACCTCTCAAAGCCACGTGGAGAAGAATTGATGGG